TTAGTTTGTTATTGATTGTAAAGCCACACGTATGTTGTGACTGATTTCTTAATAAAGACTTCTACTACTATTAATGCAACAGGTGACTCAAAACATAACGACAACCCTGGAATAATTCTATGAAACACGTTATATTTCAACAGTGGGAGAAAGAACCAAAGACGCAAGAGATCACTACAATTATGTGAGCAAATTTGGTAGTTGAGAAAATAAAACCTGGAAAAATATTTGAGTTTGAACAAGATTCAAATCCATGACCTTTTTGATACTGGTGTGGTGCTCTACCAACACAGCTATCGAGCAAGTTGGTGGCTGCTCATGTGGTGAATTTTGTAGAATCCGTAGAATGAACTCAGGACAACTCAACACAACACGTGTTTAATCAACATGGCGACCCATGAAAGCACAAGGTCCCAGCATGCACTGCAAGCAAAGAATATGCATGACAAATAAATATATAGGCACTTCCCTTCCTAGTGCAATCGAGTGAACTGATTAACAAAGATAAAGGTAATTGTATGTCTGCAAGCATTGTTCCCTCCTTAAGCCTTGATTTGATGGTAACTTTAACTACTACTTAACAGTTTGACTATCAAATATTTGATAGTGCATAGCACAGTCTCTGAAGTGCATAAATGCAATAACAGTTTCTTAGACTGCCCTGATAAAGTCAAACATATTAGTCTAGAGGTCCAATCGATCAGGTGGCCTAACGACTCTCCCTGAATGTGTTTGTAATGGAGCTGTTTGACTGTGGACAGACTGCACTGGAGCTTCAGTTATGGTACCCGGGAGCTGAGATAGCAATGGAACTGTTTGACTGCAGACAGGCTGCAATGGAGCTTCAGTGTGGGAGCTGAGATGGGCCAGTCATTTCTTCTGGGTCTTGACCAGCATGGTAGCTTGCAGTATGGGTGAAAGTGGCTGGCTTGTCTGCCTTTAAAGGGGACAGTAGATCTGTCACGTCATACTGTGCCCTTCTCTGTTTTGACAAGAAAGGAGTAAGGATACTGAGTGCGCCCTTGTATCTTCCCTATTCTGGTCTCTGATCCATACTGTTTCACCAGTTGTCAAGTCAGGAAGTTCCTTTGCTTGGTGTTGTTGG